AGTGAAAATAAACTTTGATACCATCCCTTAACCCTCATTATCAGCCTTAAAACTCTACAGCTGCCTTCTCCAACCTCACTAGTTTTGGTATTTTAAGATTACTTCAGTGCAATTCTGCATATATCTTGCATCTCAAAAGAAAAAAAAAAGAAAAAAACAAGGGACCAAGCTACTATGATGACCTGTACTATGAAGACACTACATAACATTCTCCATTAAATATCTTGAGCTTCCTTAATGTTACATTGCAAACCTACGTCCAGGACCTCAGTTCCCCTACAATTACTCAACGATGCATTCATCATCCCATTCCATTTCACTCCAATGCCATCATATGCTAGTTACAGGAGAACCAGTTAATACATCTTAACATCATTATAAACAGTGCCATAGAGGACATGAGCACAGCTATAGTTTCACAAAATCATAATCATGAGATAAAAAGTTTGTAATACTTATGCCAACCCACCATAAACTCCATGACTCCCATTGTAAGAGTGCACCCTTGACTTACCCTCACCCTTCATCTTATACTGTGATATGTCAGACAGTTAGGGGCAGTATCTCCTTTAGCTAAAAAGAAGTGTCTGTCTGAAGCAGCCTCTGTTCTTTCAAAGACGTCAGCTGCCACATGCATTGACATATAATCAGCAGCTGTGGCGTAACACCCCACTGCCAGTGCAAAAAAGGCTAAGCACAGCAAAACCAGAGCAAAACCATTTGGGAGAAAGGAGGGAGACCTATGTTAATTACCCCCTTTTGGAACAGAATAGGGACTGCAGCAGCCCTTGCCACAGCTGAGAACAGAAAGGTGACAGATGATGTTTACTGATTGTATTGCTCCATTAACTTTAAGTGTTACTTATCTTAAGGATCACATTTAGTATGATTGTCTGTCTTCTCATGTCAGAGATAGTGCTTCAGCCAGAGACCAAAAGTGCTTTTTTCTAGGCTACAGAGAGATTCAATGCATCTTGACCAACATTCATTTTTGAGGTAGTACTCATTTTCTTTGTATTGCTGGCTCAAAATAAAAATATGGGAAGTGAACACAATTAAAAGTATGCTCACTGTAGATATATTTAAAAAAAAAAACAAAAAAAACCAAACAAACCCAACCCCAAAAAAACCTATTTCCTTTCTGGGCAGATCACCAAAAAGAAGCAATCCTTCTTACAAAGGTCAGCTCACATTCACTGGTAAAGTCAAACTTTCATAAATGGTTTATAACAATAGCTATAAACTAAAGTGCTTCAAAATTTGCTTGACTAGATTTCAGTGATTAGAATCATAATATTCTGGACTTTTGATAGTATGAAATGCCATGAGATTTTATATAAGAAGGGCAGAATTAGTATTTTTCTTTTTTCTTTTTTTTAAAAAAAAAAAAAGTACGAAAAGCATTCCAAACAAACCTGGCAGTCTATACTCACTACAAATTACTTGCATCTTCCTTCTCAAATCTACTATTTCTCCAGTAACTGGAACAGAAATGGAGTTGAAGTTGCCCTATACTGCAGCACTAAAAAAAGTATTCCGAATCAGATGCAAACAGGAAAATGTTTACAATCATACAACTAGTGAAATCCACACTTCATTTCAAAGTCTTAGCCCTGCAGATTCTTTTTAACACAAGGCAGATATGTAGTCATGAAAAACGTAACAGACTCTATACACTCTCTACATTGATTACGGAAGTTTCACATTTATGTCACAAATGTAATGCCCTACTGTGTATCTATTAAATGCTAAATAACTTATGAACATTTATGTGCTCTATGCAACAGTGAACATATTGACCAGTGGATGCCAAAATATAAAAGTTCATACACAAGACAAACTAATTTTTTTTAAAAAAATCACATTTTCTGTACAATTCATGCAAACTGTGCACAATGTGGTAACAAGAACAACATTTGCTAAAGTCTCCACTTAAGGAAGAGCTTTTACAGCGACAGCAGACCAATGTTCAGAAAAGTCTGCAAAAGTAGAAGTCCATGGCAACATAAAATGCAAAAATTCTTCCAGCATTTCATTTTTCTTGTAACAAAGCAGGGATGTTGATGTTCCAACCAATAGCCTGGCGATCAAATCCACATGTGAAGAGGTTACATATTGGATGGTCCTCGCTCCATGCTGAGCAACACACCATTCTTCTGTGGCCCTGTGACAGTTCAGGGGAGAGCAGTATTACTTACAACGTATTTTGAAAGTTTCTGTGTCAACAAAGTAGTGTGACTCAAAATGCAAATGCTCACACTAGTTTCTACAAACAGTACTTGAGCATCCTAAAGGTCAGTTACTTTCATCTGCAACATAAAAATCTTTGTTATGATAAGATTCATTAGTATCAGTGCCAGACCCATAATGATGATGATAGCACATAAACAGAGGCACCAAAACTTTTGAGTTTTCCAAGGTATGTTTGCTATCCAACTACATCTTATTTATAAAAGCAAATCGAATTTTGATTTTAGCATTTTTATTTATAAAAGCAATCTTAAAATGCAGAACTACTTGCCAGCAACGACTTTGTTATTAACCTGCTAATTAAGTGTCCATCACATTGATAATTCAGAAAAAATACTACTACAGCAAGAGGAATATCATATTGAGGAAATGCAAAACCTTATCTATTGGTCAAATCTAACAGTAACAAAACCGCCTCAAAGAGAATTCTGACCAGCATGTAAGGTTTTTTTTTAAAAAAGACTGCTATGATTTCAGTAATTAAGGAAAAGAAAAAAGGGAAAAAAAAAGAAAATTAAACACTAAACAATATACTAAAAAAAAAGAGCTAGAGAAATACTAAAAAACACCAAAGTCTTAAAACCTCTTCCTAAATTCTGTCAAGAGCTGCTAAATCCACCCAAAAAAAGCCTACTGAAGTGGCATAATTCAAATAATTTTGTTTAGTCTATTTGCCTCATTGGAGATGCTTGCCATGCCAAACAGCACCACAAATGCAGGAAATCTGATGGCTGCAGCAAGAATGGTTTAATACATGGCAGCAACTATCAAGAATGTATGTGCATAAGCACAGAAGGAAAACAATAAAAATTATCACCAGATCATGCAAGGTGAGCTCACAAAACCGACCCCCACTTTTTTCCTTTCATGTTTCTTCACATATTAAACAATGTATAACTGAATAAAATCCAAACATTAAACCTCATAGTGAGTCACTTTTCTGACACAATTCATATCAAGATATAAAAACACATTTTAAATGCTCTTACACATTTTTTTCCATTTCACGGAGAGCACAAGCATTAGTTTCACTTTAAGTAAGGAGAAAAATCATTATGAAATCCACCTGAAATGTCATTTCCAATTCCATTAAAAAATTCAAAAAGTGTTATTTATTTCCATGTTGGTCAATTTCAATAACTAACAGCAACATATTTGTACAGACAAGTGTCTTTCATGATTTGTTCAGCTTTTAATCTAGAGAGACCAAATCCTTCTTTTAACCTTGTATGAAAGAAGAACAAACATGCTTTAAGGATATAAATATTCAGTTACCTGTCTATTACTGCGAGGGAGGCGTGCTAATCGCACTCCTGACATGTCAAATAATCTCACTTGTCGGTTGTCATGTGGAAGGGCAATGATTCTTTGGCCAACACATACATTAATCCTGCACAGAAGAGACAAAAGTAGGTTATGTACAAAACAGTGAGAGTGACAAATAGAATTTGACAGTACAAGTTTAAGCTCATGGGAAGTGATACAGCTGAATTTTTCCTGAGTAGAATTCACAAGTGAAAAAAGAGTATTAAACCATTAAGGTGTTCTCTATTGTACTAGCTGCTCAAATAGCCTTAACATCTGCATCCTGTATGAAAAACATCAGAAAAGCAATACTATGTATTTACTGAAAAACAATGACGATTACACATACATTTTATAAAATCACTTCAGGCCTTTTTCAAAATCTGACAGATCTTAACTATACTTTTAGTGACTAAAATTAAATGTATATTCAGTGAATTTCAGTTGGAAGGGACCTACAACGATCATCTAGCCCAACCGCCTGACCACTTCAGGGCTGACCAAAAGTTAAAGCATGTTATTAAGGGCATTGTCCAAATGCCTCTTAAACACTGACAGGCCTGGGACATTGACCACCTCTCTAGGAAGCCTGTGCCAGTGCTTGACCACTGGGTCAAGAAATGCCTCCTAATGTTCAGTCCAAGCCTTCCTGGCACAGCTTTGAAGCATTCACACGTGTGAAAGAAATAAAGAATTAATTGGGAAAACATGAATTAAGAAAAATATTACCTCAGAGATCTGCTTACCTGTTGACTGCAGAGTCTGTACGGATTGTTGCAATAGGAGACCTCATGTTTTTCAAATCCCAAACTTTTACAGTACGGTCATCACTACCAGAAACAACGTTATCTCCCACAGTGAAAACTGCAGATGTCACAGTGCTAAACAATCAGGGGTAAAAAGAAAGACATCAACCTCTCAAGTTCTTTATTAAAGTAGCATCTAATTTAAAGGTCTATTTTCTGTTCCTGTGTTTCCTTCCAAATATGTAACTTAATGCTTTTTTTTTTTTTTAACCCAAAGTAACTTGAAATATTAAAACCCCAAGTGGGTACTTAGAATAAAAAAATATTCTTAACAGAAGCTGTGTCATTTAAGGCATACAGGGCTTGACTGGCCCAAGCACTAAGAAAAGAAGCCCAACAGTGGAGAGTCACTCTGCAGGCATCCCTATATTCTACTGATCCTAGTATGAGCTAAACATGTCCAGTCTTGAAACCTTAACTCACCTGTGAAGTTCTGTATTAATGTCCAGTAGGCTTATCAGACAACCAAAACTGCATTTCCTCTCAGGTGTTTTAAGACCAGTAGTCAAGTCCTTTTACTTTCCATCCAAAGATCTGCAGAACTACCTCAGGCATTTGTCATTCTCAGCACCGATGAGGTCCAAAATACCTGAGATGTAGCTAAAGCTATTTTGAACACACACCTAAGCATGCCGTAATATATGCACAGAGCTTGCAGTATAATTCCACTAACAATACCTACAGCAATATAATAATTTCTAATTGTTATTTCTATTCCTATTTTACAAGTAGCTAAAGTCTGAGAGTCTGATAAAAAAAAACGTCAAGTAGTAGTAGCAGTAAGAAGCATGACCAGACAGTTCTGAAAATTTTAACCATTATGTCTACAAACGTACAAGGGCAGCCAGAGGAAGACTCCCAAGAATATTTCTAGTAATTGGAAGTGTAACATATTACTTTCAGAAGAGATTATATAAAGAATTTTATTATCTCTGCATTTCATACTTTCAGAGAACAGTACACTGCTGATCTTAAATTACCAGTTCTCATGATGATGAGCTTTTAAATCTTTAACCTATTATTTCATATTAACCAACTAAAGTTTTTGTACTACTATTTTCATTTCAATACTGCGTGAATTGCCAACTCAAAACCAGTTATTTTCTGCCCACACAATGTACTAACAAGGCATTTTTTGTCTCTCCCTAAAATCATTAGGGAAGTCTTCTCAACTCTGTTTCTACAGATTTGGTTTAATGACCTATCTTGTAACTTGAGTCATGCACATCAATTTCTTAGAATTTAGTATTTTTAATTTAAGCTGTCAGTTGTTACTGTCACTTTGGCTGTTCTGCAGAAATTTGAATTCATGTCCTATCTAAACTGCTGACTGAGATTAGTACTAGCCAAGTCACAACGGACCAGTTTACGCAAGCCTCTTAATTTAAACTGACACCAAATTAAGTTTTAATTAGGATGAAGGCCCACTTAATTCATGATACCAAGTTTGCTAATGCATTATTAGAGTGCAGCTAAGCTACCAGGGAGATGATTACAATAAGCACCAAGAGGTCTTCACCTAATCTTCTGGACTTTATGAACCAAAAGTCAAGAAGTTAAAACACACACGAAGGCCACAACTAATGAGTCTCTTTCATCAGGCACCATCACATTTGGGAAGAAAACTTATTCATGTAGTCACGTTACTGAAAAGTAGGGTTGGTATGTTCTTCGCACCAAACTTGTCTTCTTCCTTTAAATTTACCATCTGCATTTCTCTCCTTACTAGTTCTTTATACAAGCTGCAAAATACCTCTGTAAAATGTTTCAAACTTTCACTAAACTCCATACTGGTATAGCTCATTTGAAACAATGTTTACAGGTTTAAAATTCACTATTAAATCTCCATACATTGCACACACACTGGGAGACTTCTTTGTACACAACATTGTAAGGAATTCAAGTCTTAGAAAATCTCCAGGTGAGTCAATATACAGCATTTTAGTATTCTGCTGCCAACACAGGAATCTGATCTGCTTTCCCGTCATCAATTTTCTTCCAATTACCGTTGGAATATGTTGCGAAACTGTCTTAAAATAACCTTCCGAATTTGGATGCTTTTTTCCCCACAACTTTAAACAGCTTTCCAGCTTCTTTGATCTCATATTGGTTCTCCTTTATCATTGTCAAACATGGTTAAGTTTATTTGAACACACAAAGTTTTTTCTTTCTTAGTTTTATAATTTTTCAAATGAAAACATTCAAAACTATCACCATGCAAAAAGAATGCCAACTCCAGGTTAGCTAGACCCTTACTGCTCCTGTAAAAACACGACAACTCTCAAAAGAAAACAAAATCTTCTTCTGTACTGTTTTCAGTTTAACTATTCAGATATTACTAGGTACACTAACAAAAAATTTGCAAAATAAAAATGTAATGAAGTTCTGCTGTAGCGCACTCCAGCACTGGGCAAGTGATAGACAAAGGGAAGGCTGCCAGGCTGTTTTCAATGACATCTTTAAAAGTGTTTAGTGGTCTTAGTCCTCTGCCTATCCTCCTAACAGGTCATCCCTGTAAGGCACTGAAGGCTGGGATATGCACTGTTTGCAAGCATATGTTGACTATGAAAACAGTCTTTTCCTAAGGAGCTTTGAACTCAAAGGCTAGATATAAAAGCACTTTTTACTGAACCCACTGTTTATGATGACAAATTTTGGTCGCAGTCCTAGATATTATGCTTTAAAAAAAATGAAACATTGCTCTTCTAGGGAAGATACACTCGATTCAGTTCTCAGAGATACCTCATTTTCAGAATAAGATTGCAAGACTAGAAGTTTTAAGTAACTTAATACCAAGTCTAAAAAGGCCAAAAGCAGTATCATTCTCACAAACTTGACAACTCTGGTGAGGGTTATTGACACTTGACTGCCATCTCAGTAAGGCTCAAGTGGGCTTTTCGGTTTTGGGGGTTTAAGTGGAACATATTAATATTTTAAAAAACACATACATTTAAATTCAAGAACATGTATAATGCTGCTGGCTTAAGAAAACATGAGCAAGTGCTGTGCTCACAGGTTTTCTTATGCACTATAAACCATGCTTTGTCTCTGCTGCTCCAAACTGGGGCATCCCTTAAGGTGAGACAGATATATCTCTTTTCTTTAGTTCTGTTTTTTTACTTAAGATAAAATAGCAAAAGGAAGAAAGGCCACTTCCTACTTATAAAATAAACAGGATTTCAGCCCAACTAAAGGGAGAAGGTGAGAAGAAAGGGAAGCAAGGTCTGTGTGGGAATAAAAAATTTGGCAGAGCAGTCAATACACAAATAACCTTTCAAAAGTATTGCCTCCCTAACACCACTCATATCAGAAAAAATTAAAAGACTTTTTCCTGTGTTTTCATGTGGCTAGTTTTACTTTCTGTTTATACTAGTCTTCAGTTTGTTCTAACCCAGCTAAAACTGTGGTTAACATCCCCTTGGCTAAATTAATAAAAAGTGTCAAGAAAAGATCATCAGATCCCGTGTTAATGGAATGCTAGAAGACATTAGGTTTTTAATAACTCAAAAAGATGACAGGTATTGTAGGACATTAAAAAAAAAATTGGCAAAGAAGCAGCAGTCTTTGTGACACTTCAAACCATGGGTCCCACAGGGAGTTTGGTGCACTACAACTATTCTCCAGAAAAGCTTCTGCCTCCGCCAAACCCCAGTAAAACTCATTTATCTTGTCATAGGGAGCAGCCGAGCGTGAACTTCCAGCTGACAGTGCGGCACTTCCTCACCACACACCGTTGCCTGGCCTCGAACATCCTGCTCCCTCCGTGGGTCTCAATCAACAGAAATACTGTTGTGCTAGCACTCCTCATTAGGCTGAACAGCTGTCTCCCCAGTCACACTGAGACACAAAACTGTTTTGCATAACAATCTGCTGAAATTTCACACATAGAGGAAGGGGGGGGGAGGGGAAAAAAAAAAAAAATGTTGAAAATGTTGGACCATGAAATGCTGAACCCTTATTGGCAATGTACCAAAAAACAAGTTAACACTGCTCTTCCCATTTTGATTTGCAGCCTATACTGGGATTTACCACTGAACACTGGGAGACAACATGTTTCCACACCTGTGAAAAGGCATCTACTCATAAGCATTAATTTGTGTGGGATGAAGTTCTGGAGAAAATGCACTAAAACAGAGCTTTCAGATAAATTTATTCAATGCACACCAAATTATAGTTAAGCAGAAAATCTGAGTGCTCAAATATGCCTCTCACATTTTAAGTAGTAAAATTCATGAGCAAAACCTAAGGAAGCTCTATTTGGGACAGCATTTCCTGCACAAGGATTTCTTTTAGGGGAACAAAGTGTATCCCCCACAGAGAGC